TTCAATCTCACCAATCTACATCACAACATCAAAACACACATAAAATCCCTCTAAAATTTTCTCAATGGTAACAAAATAATGAATTAAGTGGCATAAATATCATGAGTGTGGAGCACTCATCAAATTCACGTTCAAAAAATTCTCTGTTGTTGTGTCTATATGGGTGTTCCACTTCATAAAAAAATATCATTTATTTTTATTCCCAATTCCGTAAAAAAATAGCATTTGTTTAAGGAAGACAGCAATCATTCCTGTGTAACCATATATAGGCTATGTTTGGTACCAATTCTCATTTTCAACAGTAAATCAATTCTTATTTTCAACCACACATTTTTCAATAAAATAATATTTTCTATTATATCAATAATCTTATCTTCTTTTTCAACCACACATTTCCCATCATATCACTATTCAAAATCAATTCTTCCCCCAAAAAATTCCTACCAAACACACACATAATTCTTTTACTACATGTATTTTCCATATAATTGGTTTAAAATCACTCACATGCTTGACAATCATTTGAAATTAAAAGGCAACTTTATTAATTCTAATAAAAAACAATTGGCTCTTTTGGTGGTACAAATCATGACATGCCATGTACTATATCAAGAAAGTTTCCTATATAATATATTATAACATTTATACAATTTTAAAAAAATAAGAAACTATTTTACCCTATCCTTATCTAATCTACACGTGGTTGGCATTCTTTATAAATTCAAAAATAAATCTAAATAAATACCATTAAGTGACAAAGTTTATCTACTTCAATATCTTGAGTCTAACTTATCAATATCGATTTTTTCTCGAGTCTAAAATAGATGATTAAATACGAGTTAACTCCAGCGAATTCAATAATGATGTACTAATTATCACTCTATCAATAATTTAATATTTGAACCAAATAAAAGAGTTCACCTGTTTGATACACATTCTCTAAAAATACATTCTTTCAAAACTCATTTTCAACTATACATTTTTCAACAAAATAATATTTTTTATCACATCAATAATTTTTTCTTACTTTTTAACCACATATTTCACACCATATCACTATTTAAAATACATGTTTTCCTCAATAATATCTATCAAACACACCCTAAAACTTATTTATCTAAATTCCTTCAACTAAAAAATATAAAATATATAGCATCAAAAACAATTTATTTATTTTATAAAATTTTAGGGGCTTGACAAAATGTCTCATCAAACTCTCACTATGTGCTTCACACACCAATAATTCATACATAGAATAATTAGACAGACATAATTTATTTTCTTTAAAAGGATATACATCATGTTTGTGAAATTTATCAATTGTAACCCAAGCATTTTGGCACTCAAGAAAGTAAGAAATACATCCTTCAATAATTCATCAGCAACTACGTTCTCTTTATCTTGTTTATACTTAATGACATAGAAAAAAATCTCAATGTACTACATCCATCTCGCATGCATCTTGTACAACTTACCTTAACCCTATAGATGTTTCAATTATTCAGGGTCGGTATGGATTATGAACTCCGTGGCTATAAGTAGTGTTTCCACGTCTTCAAATCTCAAACAAGAGCATAAAGCTCTTTGTCATGTGTAGGATAATTCAAAGCTACTCCGCTTAGTTCTCACTGAAAAATGCTATGGGCCGCCTATCCTACATCAAAACGGCTGCATTTCCTATTCTTGAGGCATCACGTGCAATCTCAAAAAGTTTTCTTAAAGTTGGACAGTGCTAAAACAGGTACAGAACACAACATATCTTTAATAATATTAAAAACATTTTCTTGTTCAATGCCCCCAACAAAATCCAATAATCTTTTTTACAATTTCAGTAAGTGGTGTAGCAAGTATACTAAAAATTTTAACAAAACGCCTTTAAAAACTAGCTAAATCATGAAAACTTCTTACCTCAGTGATGCTTTTAAGGTTGGTCATTCCTTGACATCTTTACTTTCTTTTCATCCACCTCAATACGTTTTGTACTTACAACAAAACCAAGCAAAAACTACTTTTTCTATGCAAAATATACACTTCTAAAATTTAGCATAGAGTTCTTGTCTCAAAATAACAAGCACACATCTCAAATGCTCATCTAAACTTTTACTATATACTAGACTATCATCAAAATAAACTATAATAAATTTTCCTATGAAAGCGCGCAAAACATGGTTTATTAATCTCATGAAAGTACTAAGTGCGTTAGTTCAAATGGCATAACTAATCACTCATATAACCCATATTTAGTATTAAAAGCAGTTTTCATTCATCTATGTCTTTCATTCTAATTTGGTAATACTCAATTTAAGATCTATTTGCTAAAATACATGACACGTGCAATTCGTCCAGCATATCATCTAATCTAAGTATGGGATGATGATATTTTACCGTTATATTGTTAACTGCCCTACAATCAGTGCACATTCTCCATGCCATATCCATTTTTTGGTACAAATAGCTTGGCACGGTACATTGACTCATGCTATCCCTCACGTATCTTTTCCCATCAACTCCTCAACTTTCTTTGAAGCTCCTTTGTCTCCTTGAGATTACTTTAGTAGGCTGGTCGATTTGGAATAATAGCTCCAAGCACAAAATCAATTTAATGCTCGATACCTCCAATCGGTGGTAACCCACTATGCATTTCTTCAAGGAACGTCCTCAAATTTTTCAATAAAGAAATAGCCAAACTAGTGAGGAATTGGTTAGTTTCTTCAAGATTAAGGTAGGATTTCTTCTACACCAATAATATCAAAGGCTGGTTTTCCATTAGAGCCTTCTTAATCTCACCCTCTTTTGCAAAACAAGCTCATTTTTGTCTTCCATTTTCCCCCATAGGTTCTCTATCTTTTTCTCTCCTGGCTCTCCTCTTTCTCCATCATTTTCATCTACCATCTCTATTTTATCTCTCACCCTCTTTTTTACCTTGAAGTTTCAACCTAACTCTCTTTTTTCCTCTCTCTCTCTCTCTCTGTTTTTTTTTTTTTT